AATGCTTGTGTGTCTAGGACTCTGTTCTGTCACGCTCTTCCCCTCTGAGCATTAGTGGTCTCTTCTCTTCCTAATCCTCATTATGTTATCAGAACAAAGCCTCTCTCCCTGTCCTCAGCGGATTATGTACCCCTCAGTCACTGAAAGTATGTCTACATTTCAACTTTGTTTGGCGGTGTGTACAGTACCAACACGGGTGGCCTCCTGGCATAGGGATCAACAGGAGTGGAGTTGGTGAGGAGCTGCGTAGCTGGGAAGGGTAAAGATACACCTGAAGGGTGTAGATGTGTGCCTGAGTACATACCTACATGGCTCCCTACTCCCCTAAGCCACACCTGCAGAGAAAGGCTCCAGCAGCAGGGAAAGGCTTGTGGGAGGGAGTGGGGAGCTGCTGAAGCCTTTCCACACTTCCTCCCCTGTGCCAGAGCCTTTCACTGACACATGTAGCTACACACTGCAGTGTGGACACAGCCTGCATTTCACTGTGGCATGTAGCTAGATGTACACTACACACCGAAACCTGGTGTGTAGCGTAGACGTAGCCTTAGCATACGCATGCAGGCGATATTGCTTCGATTTCCAGTGCTTAAGGCTGAGAGAGTTGGGGAAGTAATGGACCTAGTCTCTGGGAGACAAGTGTATTGACCCCCTACAGGTAATGAAGGAGTGATACTGATTGCCAATGACTCCTGGGGGAATTCTGCCCCACCACGCAATGCAGAATTTTGCAGAAATGAACGTTGTGCATGCAGAATTTCCTTTCCCCCCCAGAAATGGGCTGCAGTGCTGCTGACCGCCACTAGAGGCCACTGGACCCGGCGTAGAAGACACCAGGTGGGAGGGGGGAAGGGAGAGGGAGCTGGAGGGTTTCTGGCAGCTGCAGTTCCCAGCATGCCCTGAGGCAAGGAGACGGAAACTCCATGCAAGTTGGGACCAAGCATCAGGCTGTTTCTCCCTCTGGATCCCTGAGCTCTGGGGTGGGGAGGGGACTGGGTGTCTGGGCTGGGGGAGCCACGTCTGGCCTCTGGGTATGTGTGTGGCGGTATCTGGGCAAGGGGAGGACCCTGTGGCTGGGCTCTGGGGGGAGAGGGGTTGTGGGTGTCTGGCCCCTCAGCTGGGCTCTGGGGGCGGGGGAAGAAGGGGACAGAGAAACAGGAACTGGGTGTTTCTTTAACTCTCTACTCTTGGGGGAATTTTTGTATGTGTCCGTATTGTCACAGGCATACTTGCTGACAGGTATTTTGAAATAAATTACCAAAATAATTGAAACTGGTGTGATTATGTAGTATTATTTTGACAAATAAAAGTTGCAGAATTTTAAAATATTGTGCCCAGAATTTTAATTTTTTTGGCACAGAATGCCCCCAGGAGTAGTTGTTCTCGGATTTGCCAGGAGTCATTGTAATTGGTATTTTGACAGCACAAGATGCATACATAGTGCTGGACAACAGACAAACTGTGCCAGACATTGAAACGTCCCTGCTCTGAAGGGCTTACCTACGAAAGGCACAGAACACCAAGACCTTGAAGAAAGGATTAAAAGAATGGGATGATCTTAAAGAGTCTACTAGGACACCGAAGGACCCTCAAGAAGCACAAAGATAACAGACAATGTTATAAAAATGTAGTTGACAGATGTGCGACCCATTTACAGTATTATCTAAAATGCAGACATTGTCTCTAAGGTATTGTGACTAGATAATTTTTTTGCAAATACACTGAATTGGAAAATATTTCTTCCCTCCTCCCACAATTTAGAGTGGTTAACTCCTGCATGTCACCAACGCCAAGAGAGAATTATTTCAATCCATCAGGTCATGATTTTACCTGGAGAGTGTGGCCAAGCAAGGCATGTTCTTAATAGCCTTTGCCGAAGGAGCCCTCACCTATCTCAGCCAAGAAAAGACAGCGGAAGATGGAAACAGGAGGAAGGAACAACGAACAACATAAATGGCAACTTCAAACTACTATGTGAAATCCCCTTAAAATTTGTAACTACATGAGCTCATGTACGCACAATGCCCTATAGTGCTGGATGTGAATAAACTCATTGTATCACTGTGGGAGTGAAGTTTAGACTTTTTCCTCAGTTTAATAGGGTACCATGCATGGAATCATCATGCAGTTTTGCTCTAGTTGGACAGGCACGTTAAATCATCTCAAGTGAGTAAAAATCTCCAGTGAATTATATTTCACTTGTGTTAAGTTATTTATCTCTGCTTTTCAAACATTTCATATCTGGTCTATCAAGGTACTTATATGGCTACCCTCACCACTGTAACCGACTATATATCTAAAAAAAACCCAGTCTCTCTTTCTCCTATAGCAGCCAATGAACAGGAAAAATAGTCTGATTAATTTGAGCTCAGTTGCGGCTTTGTTGTAGAACAGCTAATTATAATGGGTGTTAGTGTTATAATTCAAAAAGCAGAACGAAGAAAGAGAACAAGAGCTAATGTATGAAAGATACTCTGTGCACCATACATTTGTAAAATCATTTATAAAAGTACAAAATGATTAAGGAACAGACAAAATTCCAAGGTGCTTTACATTATCTTCATCATTTATATTTACAAAACACATTGTTCAGCTTTACATGCATAAGGAATTACAGTACTACAAGTAGTATGCTTTATTTAATATTACTATGGATGTGCAGTGGTTCAGAATGTGTTTTTCTTTGTGCTTGTTTTTCCAAAGGCTTTTTAATGTCTCAGTGACTTATAAATAAGGTGAAATAATACTAAGTCTGGTCTTCTCGTGGTATTTGAAGTCAAAATTTGCAAATCTATGTACCCAAATACAGTCTCTCAAATTGACTAAATAATCAGATGTCTCACTATGGATTTAAGTTCTGTAGTTTGGACACAAAGAATGGTGGAAAGATCATAAGAAGACTAGAGCTTGTGTTGCTTTGGACTAATAAATGGTCCCCCTAAGGGGAAAAAAGCACACAAAGGACAAAAAATATAAATATTTAGCTATTTGGGTTTATTCAACCCAAATGCAGAGCTCTAATATCAGCTTGTCCAAGAGTCATGTGAAAGGTCAGGGAAGGGAGGACATTCGGGGTATGTCTACACTGAAGTAAAAAACCTGTGGCACCGAGTCTCAGTGGCCGGGTCGGCTGACTCAGGCTTGGGCTACAGGGCTCAAATTGGCAGCGTAGATGTTTGGGCTCAGGCTGGCACCTGGGCTCTCAGACCCACCCCCCTTGCAGGGTCTCAGAACCAGGACTCCAGCCCGAGGCCAAACATCTATGCTGCAATTTTGTAATCCTGCAGCACAAGTCAGCTGACCTAGGCCAGCTACGGCCTTGCCCACGGGTCTTTTATTGCAGTGTAGACAAATCCTCAGAATGAAGGCCTGTCTTTGTACCCTCAAACTGCAGCCAGCTGAGAATAGTGTGTTAGCTTTGGTGCTGTTGCCATGTACTGTCATAAGAAACAACCTGATGACAATTTCTAAGGTTATACAAACAGTGAGGAAAACCTTCATAAATCAAACTTGAAATTCAGCACGTTATTTTCCTTACCACGTTTGTTGGTTATTGAAAGCCATGGTATAGGACCCATATAAACAATTACCTGCCTCACAGCCTATCCTGGACTGTCATTCGGATGCTGGATTTGTGATATCACACACATTTCACTGGCAAAAGGCTGATGCCATCATCACAGAGTTATTACTTTAGCTTATTGTGGAATTGAGCACACAGAAGAGCTGGGCTAAGAGGACAAGGGGAGAAGTACCTTCAGCAATAACAAAGAAAATGCACAAATTCCAAAAAGTTGCATAACCAGGAAGAGGTGGCCCTGACTGCTACTCCTGGCAATCCCTTACAGCAGAGGGGATCTGTAACAGCTTGGACCAGAGGATTCCCCTTTGCTTATGACTGAGTGCATGCCCTTTTTACTCAGGCTGCGTGCTCTTTTCCAGATCCTCACACTGTGATCTATTTCTCCCACAGTATCTGCACTTAAATCTCAATAGTGCCAATGAGAGGTAAATGCACGAAGCAAGGGGATATTAAACACTTAGCTCTCTGTAAACTCCTCCCGCACTTCCCCCTAAAACAAACCACTTTTTTGTTGCTGTTGGTGTGCTTAAGCTTGACTGGGGGAGGGGGAGGGAACTGGAACTGGAAGTGTCATTTTCTTGTGTCTCAGTTTTTTTAAAAGCAAAAGCCAAACTGCTTTCATTGAAAATTTTGGAAGGATTTACTCTTACTGTATATCAAATATTTTAGCAAGTTAGTTCTAAAGCATTTTAAAATGGGATTATAACGGAAAACTGCAGTAGCAGCCTGAAGAAGAAATATTGCTTTGGCAGAAGAAAGTGCATGAATGTTTCACTGAAACATTCTCAGATTCCCTTCCTTTTGGAAGGTATGGCCATTTGAATTTCCCACTACCACTTCAAAAACATTAGTACACAAGTTTAGGCCTGCACTGATGTTTGGAATACATTGGAACTATTTTTTAAAAACAAATGTAAACTGGCTATTCATTACCTAAAAAAAAATGTACAAAAGGTTATGATAGAACGGTATTTTGCAACACACCTTATGGCTTGAGCTTTCATATTAAAATAGAAGATCAGTACAAGTATGGTGCTTGCCTCCCCTATGTGCCTTTGAAAACCTCCCACCCACCAATCATTTAATGGTTATGAATCCCATCTGTAAGAGACACTATTGAAGGGTTCTGCATGTCAGACGGGCTTACGTCATAGCCCAACTTCTTCATGTCTTTAGTCACCACATTGAAGGCAATGGTCACAAAGCCTTGGGATCGCACCGTGGTCACTAAAAATAGGAGGACAACACCATTAGCCAGTACAGCTGGTTGAACAGTCATTAGATGTCCAACAGAATACCAGGACATGGTTGTTTTCAATATGCTCAATTAACCTTCTAAAGCATTAACAAAGAAACGGAAAGGCCAAGATCTGGTCCATAGTCACAGAGGAGTTAGAGACAGTAATTCCTGATCATTTACCTTCTCGGCCTTCTCCCTGCGCTACCACTTTTGGGTCAGTGAACTCTGGGTGTCTTCCCATAAGCCAACTGAGAGAAGGAGAAAAGAAAACAACTCACTGACGTGTCACTTGGTAGCATTTAGGTGTGTTATAAGGAAGGTTCATCGTATGCACCGATATAAAAAAAAATATGTTTCCCCTTGTTCATAGTAGGAATTTTTAAAGCTTGATACATTTTTTTTTCTTTATACTTATCTACTTTGATCAAAGATAAATGTCACCTCTGGACTATTGACCACTTTTTCTTTTTTCCTAATTTCACCTACATTCTATTAAATGTAAGTTATTTCTGAGTGAGGGAGGGTCAGTTTATGTCAAAGATATTTTAATAACACCTAACTTTAAGGATCTGGAGGGGACCTAATACTTTGCTATGCTGTGTAGTATCTGTGTAAACTGAATCCATTTGCATGTCATTAATTAGAAAAACAGCTATAACAAATACATATTGGACAGGGAAAAAGTTATGTCCATGAGTCCTCATTCAGGAGAAATTTGTGCAAGTCTATGCTGTACCATTCCTTTATAGATCGTGTTTTGGGTAGGTGGCCTAAAAAAATAAAAGCCTTTGGCTAACTTATTTACAGCAGTATTTTATGACTAATTTAAGGACAGATTGCGATACACCTGCTCACACTGGGCCCTATCCAATGTGCACTGAACACAGTGCAAGTCTTTCTGTTGACTTCATTGAGCATTGGACCAGGCACATTGAGTAATATCTTATGCTGCGAGAAGTCCCACTGAAATGAATGGGACTACTTACTTGTGGAGTACAGTACCACTAATGTTGAGGTGTCTATGATTCTATCACAATCTAATCCTTAAAGATTAGCATGCTAAAACTAGGAAGTGTTTACTCTCAGTGGAAGTTCTTTGTATAACCACAGTAAACCAGGGTTTAAATTTGCCCACAGATCATTAATTAAAATAATGTAAGGCCTCACCCCACTGGTTCTATTCTAGCTGCCCCATAAAGGAAAAGCTCAGTCATTGAAATATTATGAAATGCTTTCCTGCCTCTCCTCCTGATCCTTTCACTCATATTTTAAAATCCCTACTATCTATCGCATTTTTACGCTACTCTACCATAATGCAATTTCTAACACATTATACTGACAGTGCCATAACAGGCCAGCAGAAGGTTAAAAAAACTGCCCAGACTTTGGGAAGAATTCCTGTTTTTCTTTCTTTAATATACATCTCTGAGGCAGTACAGTTTGTTCTCTGGTGCCAGAAGTTTTCATCTGGCAAAAAGAGAAGTAGGTGCAGTGCGGTCATGATTATACTACATCCATGTGTTTATTAAAACATACAGAGGCTAACCTGCCTTACCTGATTACAACTCTCTCTCTTTAAACTCAGCTATATTCCTACTGTTGCAAAGCTGTTTTACGTCTTAACTCCATGTTATGCACTACTAAATTGCTTAACCTAGTCAACAAATAGCCCAAATCATTCCACAAGGTGTTTCTATCCCGCATGGCCGGTATATTTCAAACTCTATTGTCAGAGACATTAAAACAGCTGAATCTAACGGAGGGCCCTGTGATATTTCACAAACAAACTCTGGGACTCTATAAAATGTTTCCCTCTGGACCACTGCTTTTAATACAGATTGACAAATCTGTCTGAAATGTTCAATTAGCTCAGAGAAAACAGTTACTACTGGAGTATGAATGATGGAATCTTCACTAAGAAAGCCTAGAGGGTACTGCGCCAATGTGTGTGGCCCTTTACCAGACAAGGAGGAAGGGACTAGTGGACAATTCAGTTTAGAACAATTCTGAAGAACAGGGAGACCAAATCTGGATTCACTGCACAATGCAGTGTCTAGATCAGCTGTACATAACCTCAAAGAGCCATTCCTTTAACAGAGTTGCAAAAAGCCATACCAAATTACATGTACCACACAATAGTTAATATATGTTAATCAGAACAGATAAAGCTTATAACAGGAGCAGCAGTATTGGGGCTCAGGCAACCTCTAACAGTCCCACGTCATCACCAGTTTCAAGAAGCCAAATTCTGTCAATGTCCTAACCATCTACAGCTTGTTTCAATGTGTAATTTCCACCCACCACAGCTGGTCAGTAGCACAAATTCAGAATTAATCAGTTGGAGTGAGAGCAAATATGAGTTTTTCCAGCAATCAATGTATCATTATCAGGATGTCACCTGACAATTTACTAAAAACCAATAAAAGAGCCACCTGCAATGCCAGGATCAATGGCTACTGATTGAATGCATCTTGCCTTCTGATTTTATTGCACAAAATGTAATCTAATTACTAAAACAGATTAGATTTTTAAGTGGACAAGTTGCACCCACTGCAGCAGGATATGGGATGTCCTATTTTCTACAAACATTTCCTGTGAAGCCCAGTGTCTTCATCATTTCTGGCTCTTAAATACTGAGATTTTATGCCAGGATGGAGGAAAAAAAATGAGGGAGAAAAACAATAAAAATTCATGTATATAGATGAAAGAGGCAGTTACTGTTCAAGAAAAAGAACAGATTACAACCAATAAATGCAGACACTCATTCTTAGAATGTAAAAATGTCCCTTGTGGAACAGTCCAATTATATTTTTAAAACATATTATGCTGTACTTAACATTCTGCATCCTCATAATGCTTGTTTTCATTATGGGTAATTCCTGCAGCAGATGTTGCTGAATTACATGAAGAAAAATAAGTGTAATACTAGTGAAATCTATTCTAGAAATAAATGAGTGTGTTTACGTCAATTCTACATAGGAAGCCAGTTTGGTTTGAACTCTTACTCGCACAATTTCATCAGTGTCAATGTTTTTTCTTTTGGAAGCTTCAGAGAATAGAAGGGAATGTGTGGTTGTTTGCCTTTGCTATCATTTGGTGGCTACTTTTCAAAAAGACATAGCTCTATCTTGGCAGGAATACAGCAAGTGCTTTTCAAATTCACACTTTCAAATGCATGGATAACAAAAAGGATGAAGTTACAGAGCATTACTCCAAGCAGATTGCTAATGTTAAATTTTAAAGTAAGGCTTTGATGGATAAAAACCACATTGTCCATGAAACTCATTGGAATGTCTTTAACCCTACAAAAACTCACAAGTGCGTGCACATTGAGTAGTCAGAGACACCACCAATTAAAACAAAAATGTCTTTTCCCATGTTACTAACACCACCTTTGAGTATTACCTTGTAATCTTTTGCAGCTTAGACGTGGATTCTGGAACAAACATAGGAATGGTTCTTCTATGACTGAAATGGAATTGATAAAGAGAGAGAACTTATTGATGAACTGCACCAAATGCCAATTTCCAATACTCCTGCATTTACTGTGATAATGAAAGTCCAAATACAGATTTAAAAAATCAGGTGAGACATCCACAAGTAACTTGTAAGTAATGAACTCAAACTTTCCTATGTACAGCTTGCATAGGGGAACTTGCAAAGGGCACAAGAGATAGGCCAGCTAGGAGAGCACCTTCATACCCAAAGTACAGTCCTCCCGACAGACCGGACAGTGTTGAAATGAAGACTTGCAGGCCCAGATCCTCCAAGGCATTTAGGTGCCTAGCTCCCACTGAAAGCAATGGGGGTTCGGTGCCTCAATGGCTTTGAGGATCTGGGACAGTGTGTTCAACTGCCCTCCCCCATCCACAAGTTAAAACTAAACCTGCACTGAATAAAAAACATCAAGGCTCAGGTCCAATGACCAAGGGTTTGTGCCAGAGAATAGATTCCATACCCATGGTGTAAGCAAGCTATAGAGACACTTGGGGGGGGGCACTTATTTTGGCTCTGATTATTTTACTTTAGAAAATACAACAAGAGGCAGCTGAGATCAAATTGTATTTGGGAGGAACATTTGAAACAGAAACAATAACCACTCATTAACCCACCTTCCAGGTATGAACGGAACATGTACAGCTCCATAACCTCGGACGACATCATTTCCAAAAAGATCAGGTCCATAGACACTTACCACTATTTGTGGCCCTTAAAAAGAAAATAGGAGTTAATATAAGGGCAAGGACAAAGAAGGAGATGGATTTGGCCCTGTAATTTCTTAAACTCATTCCTAACTTACTACTATTTAACATTACCTGAAAGCAACTATAAAGTGTCAAGAACTGCAGGTCCAAAAATGTATTTATCTATCTGTATTAGGGAACTAAAAGCCAGTGGGTATAAGAAAGCAAATGGTGTTAACTGTATTACTGAATTAGTGTAAAGCTTTCTGGTGTCTAAGAAATACTCTCATTCAGGAAAGGTAATTTTAAAAGATTACAAGAAATATGGTGCCCCACAGAGTGCACAGAATCTACTCCAAGCAAGTTTAATTGCCAGAAATGATAAAGGGGGAGCCCACAGTAATTTCATCTTGGGAAACTTCAAAAAATGAATTGCCTAAAGCACCATCAAGAGAAAACACAAACTGGACTCAGTAGAACAAAAGTAAAAAATGAATCTGTAATGTTGGGTTTTCCTTCATTCACAAGGCTTTAAAAGGTGACATGCAGAACCATGCATATTTGTGACTCTCCAACAATTGCGGGGCATAGTCTCCCTTATTCAGGTCATGTCAGCATATGCTATGAAGACGCATCAAAGCGCTTTCAGCCTACTATTTCAGAACCACAATCTCCATGTACCAAGTACCTGTATTCAGCCACACATCTTCTTTGTGGTTTACTTACAGCCAGAGGGGTTGGTACTTTTAAAGGTGATGTCAATTGGAAAATTCCACACAAGGGCTTGCTGTGCATCTCTGTTTTTAGAGGTGATCTGAGATATTCCCTCTTCCAAACCCTAAAACAAGAGCTTACATATTGTACAAATACAAGCTGCTGATATTTACTCACATTACAGAGTGGAAAGTGCATATGCTTTTAGCATATATAAAACTTCTTTGCCTGTTTACAGACAGACCATCAGGGCCAAGTTCCAGTCCCTGCCCCAAAGAACTTACATTTTTAATAACTAAAGCTCCTTCCCTTCAATTTGTAAATACAATATTTTGCATGTCCAAATGCAGGGTTGGGCCATACAAACTGATGCAAAATTAAACCCATTTAAAATCTGACCCTTATTCATACTAATTTGCAAGTAGCTAATCTTATCAACATTTATGAAAAGCATTGACTGGATTCATAATAACTAACAGAAGTGTTTTGAATATGTAAACCACAAGACAAGGGAAAAGTATAACTAAACCAAGGGTCCGGGGTCCCCTGGTGGGTCATGAACAGATTTCAGGGGGCTCGCCAAGCCAGTGTTAGACTTGCTGGGGCTCAGGTCAGAAAACTGAAGCCTTGCTATGCGGGGCTGAAACCCAGGGCACTGAATCCTGCCACCTGGGGCTGAAGTTGAAGCCTGAGCAACTAGCGTTGCGGGGCCCCCTGTGGTGTGGGGCCCTGGGCAACAGCCTTGCTTGCTACCCCCTGATGCCGGCTCTGGCTTTTATATGCAGCAAAAAGTTGTTGTGGCACATTGAGTTTTTATAACATGGGGGGGGGGGGGGGAAGAGGAGGGAGGGCGGCCTCAGAAAGAAAAAGGTTGCGAACCCCTGCACTAGACCTATTGTGCGTTTTTCCTGAGTTATATGTATTATTTGTATTAGTGTAGCACCTAGGAGGCCCAGTCGGGGACCATGACCCCACTGTGCTAGGTGCTGTACAAACACAGAACAGACGGACAGTCCCTGCCCCAGGGAGCTTACACTGCGAATACCCACCAGCCTAAGCCAGTGAACTCCACCCCGCCGCGCGGTACGGGCTTTGGGGCCCCGGCTCCGGGAGGCCCAGCCGAGGGCAGCCGCAGCGGGGCACTTACCGTGGTGGGGGCCCAGTCGGGGCCGTAGACGAAGCAGTACTTGCAGTAGAGATCGTCGAACTCGGGGAACTGGAGGAGAAACGGAAGAGAAGGTCACTGGCCCGGGGGGGGGAGCCCCATCCTGTCACGCGGCCCCCTGCCCTGGACCGGCTGGGGGCTCATGCCTCAGCTCGCCGGTGCGCTGGGGCCTTTCCCTGGGCTCGCCCTGGCTCTGAGCAGAGCCGCGGAGTGGGGGTGGGGGGGGGCAACGGCACCGGGAGGGGAGATGCCCCACAAGGCCCCCCGATCCCCCCTGGAGGTCGAGGCGTCTCCAGCGCGCCCCTCACCGTGGCCCCCGGCCGCGCTCTCGTTCCGCCGGCACCCGGCGGGGGAAAGGGGGGGGGGCGCCAGGCTCCTGCCAGCCGGGGCCAGAAACGGGGCGGGGGAGCGCGCCGAGCCTAGCCCGCTTACCCGGGCGCTTTCGATCTGCCCGTTCACCATAAGCAGGAAGACGGTCGGGGCTGGGGTTGCGGCGGCGGCGGCTGCCATGGCGCCGGGGCCCGGTCCCGGCCCGTTGCTAGGGCCCGCTCTCCCGGCCCGCCTTGGATACCGGACGGCGAGGCGACCGGGACAAACTTCCTGCCAGCGAGCGCAGCGCGAAGCGGGCGGGCGCTCAAGGGGCTGCGCAGGCTCTCAGGGCTAGAGCCTTGCTTCTCTTAACCCCCCCCCCCCCACCTCAATACTCCCCTTTGGGATCCCGCCCCAGGACAATGGGGGTGCTACCCCTACAAGGAGAGGGCCCTCCCACACCCCCACCCCAAATGGGGGGGGGGGCTCTTTCCCCTGCCCACGGCCTCCAGTGGGTGGGGTGCCGGGCACCCCGGGGCCCGGGCACCCCGGGGCCCGGCTACAGCAGAGCAATCTGCACTGATGCCCCCCCCAGCGAGCTCGGTGTAAGCGTCTCTCTTGCCCCAGCAGAAGTCGGTCCAATTAAAGATATTTCCTGACTCACTAAAAAAGAAAAGCAGGACTTATGGCACCTTGGAGACTAACAAATTTATCTGAGCATAAGCTTTCATTCATTTTCCACGGTATGCATCCGATGAAGGAGCTGTAGCTCACGAAAGCTCATGCTCAAATAAATTGGTGAGTCTCTAAGGTGCCACAAGTCCTCCTTTTCTTTTTGCGAATACAGACTAACACGGCTGCTACTCTGAAACCTTCCTTACTCACTGTGTCTCTCCAACACCCGGGGGACCTACACGGTGACACGGCCACTGGAAACGCACCAAAAGGGCACCGGCACGACCCCTACGTTACAAGCGGACTTGACAGAAATTAATTTTGTTTGTTTGTTTCACAAGATGGATGTTTCTTTTTAAGCATTTTCTTCTATTTTTAAGCCATTTCAGTTTTCACAGTTGTGCAAAATTACGGAGTTTACGCTTTTATTTTTATCTATTTACATTTTCACAGTTGCAGGAAATGATCGGGGGAGAGTCAGACAGTAATTATTTAATGAGATAGATGCTGAGATTGAAAAGGTTAAAGCGTTATAGCTGTTAAAACCACAAATTGTCAATGTTGCGTGTCAGAATAGACAACATATAAATATTCTTAACTCAAATTCTGATAAGTTCTCAAGCAGCATTTTTGGTACTTTGCCTATGTGTACATTTCAATTGCTATCCATGGAAATATTTTTCATGGGTTTCCGTATTTTCGGTGAAACTGACGTGTACTGACCTTTACCAATAAAAATCTAAACCTTCCAAACCAATTTACAAGAGTGTGGTACATCTGCATCAGGGGATTTTTGCACCAGGATCCATACACCTCACTGTTAGTGTCAATTACTCTAACACAGCCAGGGCCTTATGTTCCATGGACCTTGGAGGCCCTGTCATTCATCTCACCTCTGACTCTGGGTGCAGTGCTTCTCTGCCCAGGAAAATTCCAATCAACAGGGTACCTTTCCCCCAAGCGATTTCCACAGCAGTGAGTTAGCGTATGATGAAGTGAGCTGTAGCTCACGAAAGCTCATGCTCAAATAACTTGGTTAGTCTCTAAGGTGCCACAAGTCCTCCTTTTCTTTTTGCGAATACAGACTAACACTGCTGCTACTCTGAAACCAGCATATATAGAGTATGCTGCAGTCAGAAGTGTGGTAGATGTACCAGAACCAGCTTTGATCTAGCGAGCTTGAATAACAATAGCAGTGAAGTCAAGGCAGCATGGGATGACCAAGCTTGCCTGGGACCCTGGCTCCACTCAGGTGGCTCGCAGCTATGGGATGCACATGTGTGATGAGCCTTGGAGGCCACTAGATGTCATCATTACCCCACACAAGTCTGAAACAGAAAACTTAAGGCTATCAGGGGCATGACCTGATTTTAAAATCACTGACCTGCACTTTGTTTTTTATACCTCATAAACTGCCTGTCGTTTCTTATCCCACGTGTGGGCAAATTCCAGTCATGCATTAGTCAGCCACTGTCAGGGGTTAGGGAGAGATTTATTCCATAATCATCCATTGGAGGGTTTCTTGCATCTTGTTCTGAAGTATTTGGTACTGGTGCACTGTCAGAGACAGGATACTGGGTTAGGTGGGGCATGGATCTGATCCTGCATAGCAGTTCTTATGTTCCTGGCCTCCCCTCTTCTCCAAAAAATCACAGATGAGGCAGGGAAGAGGCTTAATCCTTCATCTGAACAAAATTTTCTGCAGATGAACACTTCAGGAAAGACCCTGTGACATTAAGAAATATTCAGCCCTGTGTAAAACATTTACAAAGCTCATGGAGTGATTTTATATGTGGTAAGCACTGAGGAGCTGTTCTAGAGACCTCAGAAAACTGGGAATCTCTTGGTTTCTGGGATCTGTCTTAGCCTTTAGGTCAGAACTTTTAAAAAATGTTTTCTCTAGTTCTGTAAACCAAACCAGTTCTCTGTGATGGTTTCCCACTTCTTGAGCTGCCAGGTGGCCAGTGGAGAAGTTGAATCAGCACAGCGGGCTCTAGCTGGTGGTAGTTGTTGGATTGACTCCTCCTCTCCATGTACAGCCTGTCTAGTCCCATCCAGGAGCTAATCAGAAAAGAAGGTTTGGGGGTCATCCCCATGCTGTGGTGATAGCTCTCCCCCAGCTCGAACAAGCTGGTGCACCACATGGGAAGGACGAAAGTGAGTGTCATGGGAGGGAGGATATCGGGTAGGGGAGGAGGAGAAAGTTTGCAGGTTGGGGCCCAGGTATTGGGAATGTGGCATGCTTGAAAGTGAGGTGACCCTTATCTCACCAGGCCCCCAAAATCCATCCTGCTATTAACCGCCGGCAGCATGGTACATCAGGATTCCTGCTTGGCAGCCTGGATTTGATGTGTAGAAATCTGATCATTTAATAAACTGACCTCACCCCTTACATTGAGTGCTTAGACCAACAATGTAGCTCTGTGAACATGCCAATCAGCTCTGATTTTAGTTTATTTAATTTATCCTGTAGTAGGGTGATCAACTTTTTGGATGGAAATAAGGGAAAACAACATGAAAAATAATGGAAAACACTTTATTTTACGGAAAAAGAACAGGAGTACAACTACAATACCCACCTGCTGAAGTGAAGAAACAGATTGACAGAGACAGAAGAGTACCCAGAAGTCACCTACTACAGGACAGGCCCAACAAAGAAAATAACAGAACGCTACTAGCCGTCACCTTCAGCCCCCAACTAAAACCTCTCCAGCGCATCATCAAGGATGTACAACCTATCCTGAAGGACGACCCATCACTCTCACAGATCTTGGGAGACAGGCCAGTCCTTGCTTACAGACAGCCCCCCAACCTGAAGCAAATACTCACCAGCAACCACACACCACACAACAAAAACACTAACCCAGGAACCTATCCTTGCAACAAAGCCCGTTGCCAACTGTGTCCACGTATCTATTCAGGGGACACCATTATAGGGCCTAATCACATCAGCCACGCTATCAGAGGCTTGTTTACCTGCACATCCACCAATGTGATATATGTCATCATGTGCCAGCAATGCCCCTCTGCCATGTACATTGGCCAAACCGGACAGTCTCTATGTAAAAGAATAACTGGACACAAATCAGACATCAAGAATTATAACATTCAAAAAACTGTCAAAGAACACTTCAACCTCTCTGGTCACTCGATTACAGACCTAAAAGTCGCAATATTACAACAAAAAAACTTCAGAAACAGACTCCAACGAGAGACTGCTGAATTGGAATTAACTTGCAAACTGAACACCATTAAATTAGGCTTGAATAAAGACTTAGAGTGGATGGGTCATTACTCAAAAGTAAAACTATTTCCCCATGTTTATTTTTTCCCCCTACTGTACCTCACACATTCTTGTCAACTGCTGGAAATGGCCCACCTTGATTATCACTACAAAAGGGTTTTTTTTCTCTCCTGCTGGTAATAGCTCACCTTAACTGATCACTCTCGTTATAGTTTTCAGAGTAGCAGCCGTGTTAGTCTGTATTCGCAAAAAGAAAAGGAGTACTTGTGGCACCTTAGAGACTAACAATTTATTTGAGCATAAGCTTTCGTGAGCTACAGCTCACTTCATTGGCAGTGAATGCATCCGATGAAGTGAGCAGTAGCTCACGAAAGCTTATGCTCAAATAAATTGTTAGTCTCTAAGGTGCCACAAGTACTCCTTTTCTTTTCCTGTTATAGTGTGTATGGTGACACCCATTGTTTCATGTTCTCTGTGTATATAAAATCGTCCTACTGTATTTTCCACTGCATGCATCCGATGAAGTGGGCTGTAGCCCACAAAACTTTATGCTCAAATAAATTTGTGAGTCTCTAAGGTGCCACAAGTACTCCTGTTCTTTTTGCGGATACAGACTAACACGGCTGCTACTCTGAAACCTGGCTTTATTTTACGGGACATTTTAGGTAAATACCACTTCCCTTAGCATATCATGAATTTTCTCTCAAGTGTACATTTCTACTGCCCCCATGTATACTATGCAATTATCACAAGCTTCAATTTAAATGTTTAAAATGGTCAAGGGATGTCCCTTAAAATAAAGGACAGCTAGTCACCCTATCCAGTATGTACAATCACCGTTGCATTTAGGTATCACAGGTCCAATCCAACTTGCATGGAAGTTTTTCCATTGACTTTAATAGAAGCTGGACAGGGCCTCACTTTTATTTATTATTTGCAGTATTGTTGGAGCCATGTTGGTCCCAGGATATTAGAGCCACAAAGTTGGTAAGGTAATATCTTTTACTGAACTGACTTCTGTTGGTGAAAGACAAGATTTCAAGATTACCGTAAATATTTATTACCCATGGAGTATATTGCCAATACAAAAATCAGTTCAAGCAAATTCCATTTTATTCTTGAATATCCAAATAATCACTACAACCAGATCCACGATACAGCGAACTACCCACATCATCTTAAATATACCGTGTAGATTTTAGCAGTCATTGTGCAGATGAATTGCAAATGGAAAAAAAATACTTTATGGTTGTGTAAAGACAGCCTCAATGTTTGCTTTATTCCAAACTACAGATTCTTCTGCTTGCTTTTTACATTAAATATAAATGATCAAAGTCAACAATTGTCTCTGTTGGTCCTCAAGCACTTAAATCAAACTAC